TGCACAGAACAGGAATCTAACATACAGCCTCATGCTTCATTACCACGGGCCCTATGTCCCCCGGGGGGACCGTTCTGAGTTCTTTCTCTCTCCCTCTCTGGAAATAACCACAAAACCTTGGGATTCTGCGGAGGGAGAAGAGAAGCACTCTCTTCCAAGCTGGGCTCAGGTTACAGCGGCCAGCTGCAGGCCCTGGCGAAAAGTCCCCTGCGGTCGCCTCCACCCTGCAGCAGGGGAACGGGGTTCCAAGCGAGGAAACGTGGCCAGGAAACCCAGAGGCCCCACGTTCTTTTTCTCCGCTTAATTTATTTTTCCTAAAAAACAGCCGCACGGCAAAATAATCTGTAGGGCAAGATTGCATTAACGTGGGGTTCAACACAGTCAATTCCGCAGTGTTGAGAAATGCATCGTGTGGCAATAAGGATCCATCTCTCTGGAAAATCAAGTTTTTGTTTTTCCTAAAACAGGGTATTATTTACCCTGGGGGAGGGAGGAGTTTGTGATGAGCAGGACACATGAGGCTCTTCTGAGCTATTTCCTGGTGGGTTGAGTATCATGGAATTCGCTATATAATTATTTGTTACAGTGTATGTTTCCGTGGGGGGCACATTTCCATATGGGTGCGACACAGTCCACTGTGTTTTTTCAAATGTTTTTTAAAAAACAGTCACACACTGAGAGAGCGGCAGTGAGAAAATAAATGCTCTATCTATTTTCCAGAATGTTCCGCAGGCGAAAACCTGAACCCGGTGGAACAAACGTGCATTTTGAAAAGACTCCCAAACAAAAGGCACAGCAGAGTCAGGTGAAGCTTCTCTCGTTTATGTTATGGAGGCTGATCATGTTTCTTCCTGGTGTCTGGAAAGTGTCACGTGGGCGAAAAAGCCTTGGCTGGAGACTAATCCTGCTTTTTGTCCGAAGCCTTTCACCGAAGAAAAAAGAAAGAGAATGAACTATTTCACTTAATTTTTATTTTAAACATTTTTTTTAAGGTTTATTTTTGAGACAGAGACAGAGCGTGAGTGGGGGAGGAGCAGAGAGAGAGGGAGACACAGGATCCAAAGCACGTTCCAGGCTTCGAGCTGTCAGCGCAGAGCCCCTCGCGGGCCTTGAACCCATGAACCGGGAGATCATGACCGGAGCCGAAGTCGGACGCTCAACGGACTGAGCCACCCAGGCGCCCCTATTTTGCTTAATTTTTAAAAACAAGATGTGGATTATGGTCTTTAAACTCTGTGTATTTATGTTGGACAAAACACTGCAGAGAAACAAACCAGTAAACCAAATTTAATAAACATAATGAAGAGAGGGTCTCTCTGCCATTTTTGTAATTAAAAATATTTATGTTTATTTTGAGAGAGAGAGCATGCGCGAGCAGGGGAGGGGCAGAGAGAGGAGGAGACAGAGAATCTGAAGCAGGCTCTGCGCGACCAGTGCGAAGCTCAGGTGGGGCTCGAACTCACGAACCGTGAGATCATGACCTGAGCCAAAGTCAGAGGCTCAACCGACTAAGCCACCAAGGCGCCCTTTTTTTTTTTTGCCACTTGTTAAGGAAAGAGATCATATTCTCTTGTGGGCCCAGAAGATACGTGGAGGGAACAAAAATCACGTCTATTTAAGGCCTAAACGTAAAGAAATATGCAGGACGTTAGGAAGGGATTGTCTTGCTGAGGAACATGCCTGTAAGTCAGGAGATTTTATTCCAACTGAAATAAGGTTTACACAGAAATAAGGCTGCACTCCGGGGCCACCCACTCACACACTGGGAAGGTTTCTAGCTTAGAGGTTGAAGGGAAAAATGAATCATTTGTACATATTTCTTCCTTCCTTTCTTTCTTTCTTTTTTTTTTTTTTT